CTCTTTTGCAAACTCTGGATATTCCATATAATCACCAACTCTATATGGTATTAATCGACTTTTTTCATCACGATAACACTCACCTTTTACTACTACATAACTAAAGCGCTCACCAGGATCTGGGATATTCAATTTTTTTTCTTTCATTTGAGTTATAAAACGCTGGACACGAAGATTTTTTTTCTTAGGCTTCCACGAAGCTGTTCCAATAAATTGACTAAAGTCCCATTGTTTATGTTTAGCCTCTCTAAGAGTATCTTCAACAATTTTATGAATTGATCGTGTATTATTTATATTCATAGCTTCCATATGATTTTTTCTCTGATAAATTTGAAAAGCTGGGACTGGCCTTGCTTTACGCTATCAATTCCTTTTTTAAAGAGATTATCTGGTTTGAAATTGACAACCCCTTCATGCGGTACACCAAAGTATTTTTTTTTGCCAGTAAAGCAAACAGGAAATAATACCTCTTCGTATACCATTTTAAGATAAGATGTGCTATTTTTTATCCTAAGATAAGCATTTACTTGATCACGCAACTTTTTCATCACATCAATAGTAATTTTAACTATTTCAGACCAGTATTCCTCCTTGAAAAGTCTATCTTCATTAAAAGCTCTATCATTTTTTTCATAATACTTTTCTGGACATGTAAGATATAAAGAATCAGTATCCCCATATTTTATTCTGAAAGCTTTCCTAGATATGAATTTAGCAACAAGATCAATATTATATTGACCTGCAGAAGTGATCCCTCCAGCTAATTCACGAAGAAAGAATGGAGATTTACTATTTCCTGCTTCCCCATAAAAAGTATTCATATATACCTTTAAAGCAAACTGCTTGAAATTTAAACAATTATAATCAAAACATATGGATGAATATTCTGAATTTAAGCTTTCCGGGATTTTTTTACCTTTTTCTTTAATTGAACTTATCATTTTTTCAAGGCGTTCTTTTTTCTTTCCTAATGAGGCAAGTTGTGCTTTAAGATTTACTCTCTTGTTGAATAGATTCTCTAATACAATAGGATATAAACCCTTCTTCTCGAATTGATTATCATGTCTTACAGACCAAGCATGGATAATACGGT